GGAATAACAGGTCCGATCCCCGCCGCAGACACCTGCGGTCGGGAGTTTCGCAACTTATGCTGTTTATTTATTTATTATCTTATCTATTTATTTCAGCACTTCTTATACATTGTTTATCCATTACTGTCGATAAACATGATCGATTACTGTTATTAAAGTTGACATAATAGTCAACTCTTAGTGTAAGCAAAGGGTTCCATGCGCTAAAGTAAGCCATCAAAAATAGAATTACCCGTGCAGAGTTCATACCGCCTCTTTGGAGCGGCGTATGATTGTACAGAATGCACACCTTCAGTTATCTTATACGAAACGCATAAAGAAACACTTAAAACAAGCCTAATAGTTAACGCAGTTGATGGGAAACTTCTCGGAATTTGATGCAGAACAGTGATGTTCAAGAAAGCGTGACGGCATGAAACGTAATCCTTAAAACGTTTGAACCAAGGAAAGTCTGGAAATGGCGTAAAAGTTCCTGTCAAGACAGTTCAAAAAAAACAAGTACATGTAAACATGAAGAATCACATAAGGAGAAATACCACCACAATTTCTTTTACTAAGACGATCAGGAGGCGCATGTAAAACATGGGTGGGGGCGCTCTGCCGTATACATGGGAACAATCCCCGGGCTACAGGCCTGGCAGGGCCTCCATCTCTCCGAGGTCGGAAAGTTGGTACCAGGCTTGTCTGGGAGGATAATGGCACTGGCTGGATACATTGGTAGCATACTGCGAGTCATTGTAAAGGCCAGATATGGATTCAGTCATCTCCAACGATCGTTAATGATGCTGAACGCATGGGACACCCTCAGGGAATGATCAACGCCGAGAACTTTATCCTTCATTTTTATGATTATTTGTAGTACCCATTGCTGCAGGATGGACTGTCCACTGAAAAATAAATTATTATTAACAGACAATCACTTTAAACAACAATCGTCCTGTATAGACGAGTTCCACCGGGCGATGCCTGCATGGCGTACCCTCAGGGATTGACCAACGCCGAGAGCTTTACCTTTTTAAGGTTTTTTAAACATGATCCGAAGACAGGAGTGGTAGATAACACAATGTCTATCCAACTGCAAAATATAAGGCTGCATCACTAAATTGAGCCGCTACAATACTTCTTCCAGATGAACCTGGAAACGTATAATACGCTTCTGTGTGGAACAATGGAACTCAGATTTTCGTCGAATATTGTTTTGAAGTAACACATTGTCACAAAAAAGAGCTATAGATGTGGAATATCTCGTGCAGTTCACATGACTGTTTCAAATAAACAGAACATTTCTTTAGGTTTGCTCTATTTCCTCCTTTGTCTCTAACCTTTGGGTTTACAATTTTATCCTATGAATCATTAGTAGTGCAAAAAATAGGACATTTGTCAAAGACACTGCCTGGCAACTTGTTAAGGCAGCCCAAGATCCTTCGATATCTATTAGAGCTATCGGAAATGTATGAGCAACGTCATCGGAAATTTACTCCACCCATGTTCAACTAAATAAAAACACCAGACTCGCACGCTGTTTTTGTGTTGGGTTATTTCTATTCTATCAAAATTCCTTCCAACATACACAGATGCCTTGATGAGTAAACACGAGTTTGTTATTGCAACATTTATTACTCCACAACAGCTGACGTTTCAGTGACTTCGCCTTTCTCAGAGCCCGTACAGGTCAAATCGACAAGAAAGCTGCCCAGGCAAACACCTTAATAACCTAAGCGGAAAAAAACCAGATACATAAATTTTAACCACACACTAAGAAGTTGCTTCTGAACACTAACCGTATTGTTAGCTTTTTTCATTTACTGCCTAGTACAATTTTTTACGACAAGCTATTGTACGAAATTCAATCATAACGATGCTGAAATATTTTAAAAACTCCGGATCGCTGGTGTTTGCGGCGGGCATCGAACCAGATATCATCCTTTCCGGAGGCTAACGTGTTCACCACCACACCATGCGGGTCTTTCGTTTCGTCTTTCTCTCTGCTAGTTTCCTAAATTTTCTACTAACCATTTTGTTCTTTACAAGTCTTCCAGCTATATGGAGGATATCAGCCGCGCAGAGCCTTACACGGGTGAGGAATGTGCCTGGCCTAGGTCAAAAAAATCATCTACGGTTTGGCGTTATATCATGCGCAAACACAAGAAAACTCCTCCTTGAGGCTCATCCTTGGATTTCTGGAATTTATACAAAACGATGCTTCAGGAGTTTTACGAGCTATTCTGTATTCTGTACGAGTATAGCGACTTTCACTTCAAAACCTCGGTTATGCCTCTGTGTCCTGCGCGCCTAGAGTATTTGGCTTAGGTATTCTACCGTTTAGTACTTGGTTTGGTAACCGGCTGTACGATCATCTATGCACAATGCAAAATTGCATAATGTACCTTAACAATAGAAACAGTGATTGTATGAGTTCGGGTACGGTTTATCACATTTCTTGTAAAGAGCGCGGAGACGAATACTCCCGTACTCACTCTGCCTCCGTATGAAAGAACATCTAGTGGATAAATTAAAGTTAAACCAAATAATTCCCACGACCGACTTTCTATTAACCTCGGCATTGATCAAATAGTTCTCGATAATATTGTTGAGCAGATAGGAGGTGTTACTTTATTCTTTACTCCGTTAAAGCTGAGGTTTCAGCAGTATCGCCTTCTTCACAGAGGTTTACTACGTGCCTTCCACTGAAGAACTTCCTGTTCTTTCATGTTCCTCCTCAGTGGATGGCACGTAAGAAACGGTTTTGAACAAGGCGATACTGCCGAAACGTCAGCTACTGAGCAGCAATAAATGCTGTAACAACAATCTTGTTTTTGCTCATTGAAGAAAAAACAGTGAACAGTGCGAAACAGTAAAAAATAAAAGTGAGTTACTAATCAGTGCCGAGGTAAAAGGGAAGTCGGTCCTGGGATATATAATTCCATCATCATATTAAGTTAAGATAACATGATTCCCTATGACCCGTGCAAATAAACTCAAATTGTACTAAGCTATAAATTATGTTGTTAAGTAACTATCAAATTGACAAATTATTAAATGACTATAAACTGAATGGAGAATTGCATATTTCAAGGTTTGCCCACGCCCTAAGGTTCTGAACTCACTCAACTTACTGCCAGGACGTGTGAATCACTAACCAGTTTCGATGGAGGAGAGCGTCAAGTACATCGCTTCGTAACTCTATGAGCTTGTATAGAACATTTTTCGAGAACATATGAACTACGAAACATCACGAATTAGTGCGTACAATGCCCAACCTTTACACTGACGGGCTTCTGTTAAAGAAAGGGCACATGAAGAGAATTTTGTTTGGACCATCAATTATTATTGGCCAGGGTGACAAACCCGTTCGCCTCCAGATTTGCGTGTAGTATCAGTACGTCCAAATTATAGAAGCATAGAAGACCAAGTCAACAAATTTTCGAGAAGCGGGGTCACCTGTGCCACCTGGTATCCGTTTATTAGTCATTGGGTACTTCGAACAAGCACCAGCAAATTCCATCCCCACAGCATGCCAGGACTGCTCAGTTGGTTTCGCTTGCACGAAGGACACAAGAAAAAGCATATTTCTAGTCCAACGCCATTTTTAGACAATCTTTGGGAGGAATGCTGCCATAAGTAGCTCTCCGAGCTCCGCCATTTCATAGGGTTACTACTAACGGATTTCTTAGGTGAATATATCGGACTCTTGCCGAGGAATAACTTAAGTTGTACACTGTAACTCGATAGCGAGGAACAGCCACCATACACGAAGAACTCAAACTGTTCGAAGGGAAGCACGAAAAACAGTCATGAAAAGAAAGGATTTAAAGTAATAAAAGACGATTTTTAAAGTTATGAAAGGTTTATGAAAGTCATCGCTTCGCTAAGTGACAGCTAACACAACAAGGAATGCCACAGGATAGCTTGTCGACATGGAAACAAACCATTACCAGTCAATAATCAGTCAACATTCGTCCTGTTTGAAAGGGCATTTCACTGGAGGGCTACCCGGGTGAGATTCCATTCCACGCAGTCATGAGGATGCACGTCGGAAGAGAATGTCTGTGAACAACAGACTCGAACCAATCCGGCTCTGCAGAAGACGAGACGTCAGAGTGCCAGTCGAACAAACGTCTATTGATCATCTTGTGTTAATTTATCCATGAAGGAAAGTAAAAACTGATACAAATGATAAAGCTGTCAGCGCTGATCAATTCCTGATGGATGCGCCATGCACTCAACTTCATTAAACATCGTTGGAAATCATCGAATGCATATCTGGCCTTTACAATGACTCGAGATGGCCTGCCGATGTTTCGAGTCAGCACTGCTATCTTTGCGGATAAGTCTGGCACCAAATTGCCGACCCTGGAGTGATGAAAGGCTTGGTGGGCCAGGGGTGTGGGGAGGAGAAATATGATCCAAATAGTGATAAGCTACTAAAGACGATTTTCCAGTAAAGGCAAAACATGCAAGCTTCGTTATCTCCCAGAACAAATCACTTTAATTCAGTTTAATAGTCGGCTAACGTGGTTCTGCATTTCTCTTGCCCTCTATGACTAATAAATTGAAGCCGAAAACATCTAAACAGTCTGTACTATACGTATATTCTTTACAGGAACAACACTGGTGGCGAATGTTGAGCTCATGAGATGAAACGTTACGAAATCTGAACACCACGTGTTCAGAACGATTGTTGAGTGTTAAAAGTTGAAAGTAATGGGTCTTATCAAAGAACATACTATAACACTTGAACGTGCAACATAAGCTACATGCTACACTGAAAGAAACTGAAAGCGGAAACTACAAGACAACAAACTATGGATTGTCTGGAGAAAGCTCTTTAGGAAAAGCAGAAGAACCGCAACGATGAGCCGACGAGCACGCACGAACGCTGTGTCATTCGGCGCGCTCGTCGTGGTCCACTGATAGCACCTGCCCCGGCGCAAACGCCATCGGCGGTTTCGGTAAGAGCACAGCAGCACAGTATTTTGTATCAGAACGTTCCAGGATTTCTGAGTGTCGAGGTGAGCCAAAGTGTTAAAGAAGAGTTCAGAGTGGGAGTCAGTGCTGGAATATTTCACGTTCTGAATGTTAGTAGTTATTACTCACAGTCTAAGCAGATACCCCACTGATGAATTTTCGACGTTCTTGGTGTTGATGTTAAGCTTTCTGTTGTGAAAATGACGGCTTGGTTCAGAAGCTCCCCACTTGGACACGAACGACTGTTCAAGTAGAATGTTTTAGAGTAGAAATAGAAATAGAAGAGTAGAAAGAGTTTTATTTAGAGTTTATAGCTAGAACCGGCTTTGGGGAACAAGGATCTTTGTCCTTCGTGCATGAAGGGCATCGCAACCTAGCAATGAAAATACTTTTTCGCTGGTCCAGGTGTTCTTAAGGTCCTTTAATAGCTGAGTTCATCTTTATCTTCAGATTAACATGGGTTTAGCTATCAGAACTAATGCTTACAGCTGACAGAGGTATTCTGGCTTTATATTTAAACGATTAAAAAAAATTAAATGATAAAGCTCTTGGTGTTGATTAATCCCAGAGGGATGCGCCATGCATTCGGCTTCATTGAGCATCGGTGCAGGTGATTGAATGCATATCTGGCCTTTACAATGACTCGCGGTGGCCTACCGATGTATCGAGCCAGTGCTGCTATCCTCCCGGACAAATCTGGTACCAATTTGCCGATGGCGGAGGATGGAAGGCTTGGTGAGCTTTCGGCGGGGAGATCAATCCCTTGTGTATTGCAGGGCGCCTCTGATCACTGCACAGCACGTGCCTTTTTAAACGGTTATATTGTCATTAATGTCATTTCGAAAGTCAAGTTTGACCTATCAACCCATTTCAGATGTTTTCTCGAGCTCATAGAGTATCTGCTAGACAACTGCAAACAGTTCTTGGAAATCATATCGTTGGAGCTCGTCTCTATATGTCGACCGATGATGTGAGATGGGTTTTTGTTTCAAATACTTGGTAGTTTTAGTCGGTTTAGGGACTTCAGGATTGCTTCCGCGTTTAGTTCTAATGTAATCTTCCAGATACGACGAAGTTTCATAAAGTATTTCGAAGGTTATGGACACCTACATGTTCCATCGTCGTCAGTGCTTCCTTCACCAGATGATGCATCATTACTTTTCGCAAATGCTGGAATGAACCAGGTATCATCACATAGTGGAGTGCTGATTGTTTGACAGTTGGTGGCATTTTTTCGCTTAGGCTTAAGTACATCAGAGTTTGATAGCCTGAGAGAGATATAGAAAAGGTCTCGCGCCGTTATGCGGGGCTGTGGTCGGAGGCGCCCTGCAATACACATGGGATCGGTTGCCGTGCCCCAGGCTCATCAAGCCTTCCATCCCTCCAGGGTCGGAGAATTGGCGTCATACTTTTTTGGGAGGATAGCAGCATTGGCTCGATACGTCCGTAGGCCACCGCTAGTCATTGTAAAGCCCAGATATGCATTCAATCAGCTCCAACGATGCTTAATGGAGTCGAATGCATGGCGCCTAAGGGATTGGTAAAAACCGAGAGCCTTTTTTCCACATATTTCACTTAATACTCTGCTATTGAAAAATAGTAGACAGTAAATTAAAAGTGACGACATTGTGATTTATACCACAGCTTCATTTTAATTAGGTTCATTGCCGATTTGTACTACCCATGTCAGTCTCGTTGGCGAGTGATTTCTGGTGGTATCTATAGGTTAATAACACGGCTGAGAGGCAGGTGAAATGAAGTACTCGCGTGGTGTGGTAGTGAACGCGTTATCCCCGGAAAGGTTAAAGCGCGTTTGATTCTCGCTGCAGACACCTGCGGTGCGGAGTTTTGCAAATATCTCAGCTCGATTCCGGTTTTTATCCTAGTTGACAAAGTTCTTTACGAGGTCAGAAATGTTAGTGTAAAATTGAAAGGGTAGTTGTTTTTGTGCATAAGCGCATAATATTAGATACAATACGATCAGTACCGCGATGTGTGTTGTTACACTCTTTGGTTTGAGTTCTCGAAATCCTGTTTATACATGATAGCCTATTCGCAGAAGACTAATGTTGAGACAGGACTGGGATACCGCGTGCAATGGGAATATCTTATTTCACGCGTAGACTAACATAGCTTAAAACAAAATTAAACTGTTCGCGTTGATCAATCCCTAAAGGATACGCTGTGCATTCGATTTCATTGAGCATCGATGAAGGTGACTGAATGCGGATCTGGCCTTTACGACTAGCGGTGGCCTACCGATGTATCGAGCCAGTGCTGCTATCCTTCTGAACAAGTCTGGTACCAATTTGCCGATGGCGGAGGGATGTTAGGCTTAGGGGGCCACGGTCGCGAGGATCGACCCCGTGTGTGCATTGCAGAGCGCCCTGGACGACTGCGCCACACGTGCACCGAACTTACTTCATAGTGGGCTTGTAAACAGTGAACATTAAAAGCCAATATAATTTACAAAGTTTTCCCAAATATAACAAATAACGAGTTTCTCTTATTCGCCAAGATGAAATTTGTGTCTATGTAGCTTCTTAGGCTTACTTCTAATTACTTTTTTGTGTTAATGCTCCTATTTCTGACCAAAGAGCAATTGAAGGAGTTCGATTTCGTACAGTATGACACGTAGACTTTTTCCAATGCACTATAGAGTTTGGGTTTGCCACGTTTTCGTAGCTGTTTTTAGTAATTTAAGTCTATCCAAATCAAAAAAGTACTTTGGGGTACACTGCTCCTATCCACAACTAGCTGTTTAGTTCCCATAATTTGTATAACCTCTTAAACGTTCATTACTTAATGGAATGCTAACGAAGGTGATAAATTTCAGTTCAAATCATTGTTCCTGGGAAATTCGGCCGACAAATGGACGGGTCTGGAGCGCGCTGTGAGCTGTCAGAGATGTATTCGAGCTGGCGGTAAACATAATGATCTAGAAGTAAGGCCTGAGAAGCCTTGAATGCGTTTGTAAAAGATAGAACACATAGTTTAGGAAGTTTGGAGTCATTTAGGACGTGGGAAATGACCTTCATCATCTGTCTTTTTTTGAGATGCTGGGGAATTGGTCTTTCAACGGTGCTTATTCCAAGGTATTTCCTCCTATCGGCGTTATTAGTCGTATTAAGTACATAATACTTACATTTATAGCATATTTGGTTTCTGATGGTTTATGGAGTTGTAGGAAGAAGCGTATAATTGGGCGTGGTACTTCCTCACTGATGTTCTGAATATCAATCCGGATCGACTATACGTTTCTTATTTTGGCGGTTCACCAAGGCTCAATATAGCGCCAGATGAGAATTCGAAGCAAATCTGGTTAGAAATAGGGTAATTTGTTTACTGATTTTTGTCGGTTTCAATTTGTAGTGGTGTTCTTAGTTAAGATTGCCTGAGTCGCACATCCTGCCCTTTTCCAATGAAAACTTTTGGGAGATGGGCTCAACAGGACCTTGTGGGCCTTGCTCAGAGATTCATTACGACCGTGTGCATGGTCGTAAGCATGCCGGCCGTTTTGTCAACGTCAACAATTCCATTGTGGAACTGTGGAACATAGTCTTTATTTCGTACATGAGGCAAGTCTATTTGTTTACCTTTCCGATGTTTTTTAGAAGTGTTGACCTAGGTAAGGGAAAGTTAGGCCTCAAGTTGAAACTGTTTTTGAGCTTTTGGCTATTTCAGGATGTCTAATGGTGATCTTCAGCCTCTTCCAAATAGTCATATTGACACGGGGATGGGATTGGAACGTCTGTCTTCCATTGTCCAAGACGTGCCTTCGAATTATGACATTGATATTTTTGCGCCTATATTGAGGAGTATATCACTTGTTCGTTTTTTCGTTGCGCATGTAGAAGATCAACTTCGCTTTACCGTGGTCTGATGGTATTTCTCGCTAAATTCAGATGTCTCAAGTAGGAAAATACGTTGGGCGAGTTGGTTCAGAAGACGTTGATGGTCGCAATGCATCATACCGTATCCTTGCGGACCACTTGCGATCAGCGGTGATAGCTCTATCTGACGGTGTTCAATTAGGTGCTCTTGATACGGGGTATGCGGGCAGCTAACTTGTATTTTCTGCTATCAAGACCTGTTTGTGTAGTCTTTGTTGTTTGGGTTCCTAATTCGGAAAATGTTGCGGCGATCATTCTGGCATTCAGTAGTTCGTTTGGGAATTGAACGCTTTGCTTGTTCCGAACTGGTTCCAGTGGTTATTGATACACTTGTGAGTTATTCCTTGCATGTTGAGCAATAAGCTATGGGAAAGTGACAAGATATTACTTATTTTAGAAAGAAGCCTATCCAGAACTGAAAAGCTATGAAGAAAGCATTAGGAAGTCCGTCGTTGAGGAAGAGCGCCAGTACTGGAGCGTTGTGGACAAAGGAAAATCCATCTTTGAACAGATGCGGCTGAATATGCCAGATGAGGCTACGGTTTTCAGCGGTAAGCTCGGTTATTGTGTTGTTGTGTTTGATTGGATGACTGATTTTTGTTTGTTATAGGAGAAAATGCCTTTATTTTGCACGACACTCATGGGGTTTCACTAGAAATTACCCAGGATCTGTGTAAAGAACATGGTTTTACCGTCGATATAGAAAAATATCAAAGTTTTAAAGAACAAGCGAAGGTACAAGCTTTTTTACAAATAAAGTTTCTGTGGCGCATTAACAAAAGCACACAAGTGTTGTTTAGATACTTTCGAGAAGCAGGAGTAACCTTACAGATGTGAGCCCTATTGATATAACCGGATTGAATGGTCACTCAGATAGAGCAAAGTATGAGTATTTTTTGGACGGACCTGAGTCATATGGTGAGATTTCTCAGCTTTCTGAAATACTGCAGATATGTTTAAGTTCCGATGGTTTTCAAATTGAGTTCGTTTATAGTGTTTACTCCTCTGGAATCCAAAGTTATTGGTGTTTATGCAAACAGTGAACGAGTTCATTCACTGTCGTCTGTTGGCTCTGTAGTCCTCGAGAATTGCCAATTTTACGCGGAGGAAGGTGGACAAAAGTGCGACAAAGGATTCCTAGAACTTGATGAGGTTGGGCGCAGCGCACTATTTCTTCATGCAAACATTTATTTTCTTTGAATGATTTTTTGAGTGATAATGGGATGGCTCCTCCCAACGGTTTACCGCCTCGTCATGACTGGGAGGTGTTCCTGGGAGTCGGGCTGCGGTGCACAACTAGGGATTCATCCTCCCGGCAGGGTCTCCCAAACTGAGAAGAATTCCGACGTTTCTATCAGGAAGCCCAGCTAAGAGTAAACCACCACCAGGATCCACTATCGTCCTGGTGTCAAATTTGTTGCGTGGCAGCAAATCTCCCTCTGATCCACAAGAGCTGTGGGTGCCTGTAATGGTGACGACTCAGGGCAGACTTTGGCTAGGCTGAGCTCGTGACTCCAGAGGAACCTAATAGCTAAACCAGCAAAACTCTGAGAAAGTGGAGATTATGCTGAGGGCCGCACAACCAGTGAGGTTGGGCGGTCCAAGTGTCCAAATAAATAGTGGGATGGCTTTGTGAATATGTGGGACAGTTTTCTATTTGCGTCGTGAAACTTTGATATTGAGTCCAATCGCGGAGTGGTATTGATGCCGTTTTTTAACGAGCACAGCGCTGGTTCGATATCACCTCGTGCCCGACAAGCCTTCCATCGTTACGTGGTCGAGAAGTTGGTACAAGAGTCGTCTGAGATCAACAATGCAGCCCAATGCATAAAAGCTGACGACTATCTTTGTTAAAGATTTGGGAACGGACCTAGTGCGGTTATGCCGTGATTCAACGGAAATTTAACTGGTTCAACATTCAGCGGCGTTTAAAAAAGTACAAAAAAGCTCAAATAGCAGGCTAATTTACACGCATAACCAGAAGACCTCCACAGATGATGTGCAAGGAATCAAAGAAGTCAAAGAAGTAGCGGTGTCCGGGGAACATGTGAAGTCGAGGCTTGTAAAATAAATAAAATAAATTAATAGTTCTGGTATAACTTGCTTCAAAAATGCGAAGGTATCACTCAGAAGATAAGGGCACAAAGCAGTAATTCAATTAAACCTAGTTCAACTGAAGCAAATTGATTCATGCTTACTTTTCTTGTGAGTCATTTCCAAGTCGATTTCTTTGACCATCCCTTATTACCATTCTTTTTTTTACCATCCCTTATTACCATTCATTTTTTCAATGCTTAAATGAATTGTGCTTCCTTTCTGTTTTTCGTACTGGGCACAGTATTTTTTTTCTGGAATAAAATCATCTTTTTTCACTTTCTAGAAGTCAGTTTTCGAGGTCGTTTCTGTTGTAAAATCAAAAGGCATTAGTATCTTGAGTGGGAATGTCGTCAATCAGAACAAGATCTCAGAAGGCTCAGTGGTTAGACAGAAGATCGACGTGGTAAGTTTCTGTCTTGGTTCTTTTCAGTTACACCTTACAGATTTCTCCGCGCTATTAAATCTGGTTTACTGTGAGACGACATCCGTTAAAATATTTCTTTTAGCGTCGCCGAATGGCCCTTATGCGGGCGCATTCTGCAGCTCACCTCCTGAATTGGGCTTTACGACGTGTTGGTGCTGCTCGGAAACAATGTGGTTCATCTGTTGATGAAGATTCACTGAGATTTGATTATGTAACTGATGACTGTGCTGGTGAGGATGACGTGGTGAGTGTTCTTCACAGAGCTTAAATAATTCGCCAATAATCTTCACCCAACAGTTCGAAACTGGTTCTCAACAAAGGTGGAAAGTTGGTATATTTATTTATATGATCTTATTAAGCTGACGTGAGGTTGGTACAGGTCTTCGTCGTCGTTGTCGTTGTCGTTGTTGTTGGTGTTGATGTTGTTGGTCGATAGCTGACGTTTCGGCGACTTCGTCTTCCTCAGAGCCGTGATGTTACGTGTGGGCTCTGAGGAAGACGAAGTCGCCGAAACGTCAGCCATCGACCAACAACATCAACACCAACAACAACGACAACGACAACGAAGACCTTTACCAACCTCGCGTCAGCTTAAGAAGATCAGTTTATAAGATCATGTAAATAAATATATCAACTACCTATGCCGAGGTTCATAGAAAGTCGGTCTTTCGAGTTATTAAAGGTGGAAAGTGTGGAAGCTCTCATAGTGGATATTATCTCCCAAGCGCGACCTGTTGTAATGGACGAAATGCAGCTCGAGATTGCTGCTTCGATCCCACAGTTGCAGTCCGAATTCAGAGAGGTAAGTTAGGCTGTCTTTTTTGTTTTGTATAATGCTGAGATATTTGCAAAACTCCTGACCGCAGTCTGCGGTGGAGAACGAACGCGCTATTGTCTTTTCCGAGGAGAAACGCGTTCACCACCACACCATGGGTATACAAAACAAAAAAGATAGCCTAACTTACCTATCTGAATTCATGGTGGTGAACACACGGTGTGGTGGTGAACGCGTTACGCCCCGGAAAGGACAATAGCGCGTTCGTTTCCTACTGCAGATAACTGCGGTCCGGAGTTTTGCAAATATCTCAGCATCATTGAAGTTATATTTCGCGACATACCCTGCCGTTAAAAAAGAATAGGCAGTAAATAAAAAGGTTAAGATTATCTTTTTTGTATTTTTTCTTTGTTCTGTATTGTTCCATTATTTTAGGGGAAAGCTTACCCACCCGTTGTTCGCGTTGCAAGAGTTGGTAATAGGCTTGAGGATGCGTTTGCTGTTGAATGTTGTTCAGGCACGTAAGTTGTGCATCTAATTAACTAGCTATTGCACTAGAATTACTTACTTAGATACTTCGACAGCCCATCGTCATTGGTTGTGTGGGCCCCAGCATAATCTCCATTTTTCGGAGTTTTGCTGATTTGGCTATTGTTTCCCAGGGGTCCCGTGTCCAGCCCACACAAAGTCTGCCTCAGGTCTTCACCACCACAGGCAGTCGCAGCCTTTGTGGATCAGAGGGAGATTTGCCACCATGCGATTTTGATACCAGGACGGTGGTGGATCCTGGTATTGGTTTACTCTTAGCTGGGCTTCCTGATGGAAACGCCGGTCTCCTCAGCTTGGCAGACCTTACTGGGGAAATGAACCCTTTCGTTGTACATCGCATCCCAACGCCCAAGAACATCTCCCATTCACGATGAGGCGGTAAATCGTTGGAAGGACATCTAGTAAGCTAACCATTGCTTTAGAATTTTAGTGCATAAATATTATAGTGTCGTTTTCTTGAGAGGCTACGGAATTGGCCTTTCACCACCTTACAGGCATGTGCTGAATACATCCTCAATACTCGACTTTACAATATTGAGCGATCGTTCGTCTGCGAAAGGTGTAAGGCGAATACATGCTCTTACGGGTGAAAAGGCACGTCAGAGCAAACGCTATGGAAAGGAAGTACTCTCATTTCTCATGACCGAAAACGAAAATGCTTTTGCGGGAAGAAGCACAGGTCTGATTAGGGAGGTGTGTCTTCCTAGCATCTTAACAGTTTTCGATTTTCTGTGTTATTACGGTTTTCTTTTTTTCTTTTTCTTTGTTCGTTTTTCAGTCTCAGTGATTTGGTTTCAGCGAATTGAGTGGACACGTTTACCATATAAAGACAACATTCGTTGCCGCGAATTGCTCAAAGCGATAAAAAAGAGTCGAAAGCTGTTGAAAAGTGCTGATCGAGTAAGGTAGCCTACATTGGTCGTCTTGTTGTTCGCCATAGTTCAAACTATTTTCCAAATAAATGTTGCTTACTTTTACTTTTTCACAAGTTGCGGTTTGACCACGTTTCTTTACTTGAGTCGTATTTTTATGAATTTGATACTTTGTTTATGGTGAGATAGCAGAAGTCCTGAATTGAGGTTTTGACCAAATCATATATTTGCAGTAACTCCCACGACCGACTTTCTATTAACCTCGGCATTGTTCAAGTAATTCTTCGTATTTTTGTTGAGCAAACGCGGGGTGTTATTATTCTTTATTCACGAATAAGCTGACGTTTCGGCGGATTTCGCCTTCCTCAGAGCCTGGAAAGGTCAAGCTGATAGCAATCTACTCGGCCAGGCGCCTCCATAACCAAACAAAGAAACTCTAAACCAAGATTTGAATCACATCGAACACAGCTTTGCACACTCACCGCCTTCTATGAGGTTTGCACTAAGTATGTCACGTGGAGACCAACCGCACAGAAATCGCATGGAAGCATATTGTGCCCCTCCCGTCAGAATAGCAGTCTTATATACTACCCTATATCACGCGTGATAATGAGGCATTCTTCCCTGCGGTTCATTTTCGGATTTGTGGAATTAATCCAGAATACCTCGAGAGTTTTGCGCTCCTGTGTTCTTGATTCGCGTGCGAGGATCGTGACACATACTTAAAAGTCCTCCCTGTTATGTCTCTGGGTCCTATGCGTGCCTTGCGGGGTATTTCGTTTAAGTTTGCCGGCTAGGTGTTTTTTTATGCGGACACAGAGGGGTCTGCCCGTTTCGCCAATGTATTCGCCTCCGCACGTCTTACAGGAGATCAGATAAACTATACCCGAGCTCATGCAATCACCGTCTCTACCACTGGGGCAAATTATGCAATTTTGACTTGCACATAGACGGTCGTATAGGCGGTTACGAACTAGCTGGCGCTTAAGATTACTCGGTGGTATTTCAACTACGCTCACCGAATTCTCTAAGCCCGCCCTTCTTAAGCAGCGTTTTATAGCAGTACTTATATCATTTGAGGTGAAGGGTAGGATAAACGGACCCTTCTATCGCTACAGTTGTCGTTTGGAGGCCTAGGATTTCCTCTACACCTATTCTGAGCTACAGTTTCGTAGCCATTAGAAACGGCTATTTGCCGTGCCAAGTTCCGGGACTCCTTTCTCTGCTCTCTTCCCGTGCACACGTTGGTTGCTGTTCGAAACACGTTTCTTATAAGCGCCATTTTCGTGTGAGAGGGGTGAGAGGAGAGGTAATGAACCAAGATGTTTTTACTACTTGGCTTTTGGTACCACTTTGTAATGTAGCGATTTTCTGATAGGTGAACGTTCGTTCGTTCGTTTGTACGTTCAAAAATGGAAGCCATTTTTCTTTCGGCTTTTCTCGGGTGAACTTGATATACTTTGACTGTGCGTTTAACAATTCGAAACATTTGTCCTTTTGCATTTGCACTTACATTTTTACATTACATTACATTTTTTTACATTACACTTACATTTTTTTTACATTTGTCCATATATTTGCTATTTGTACAGGCTACCTGTGTACATTTCTTTTGAAGTTTTTTATATCTAAACAGTTGCATCGTTTATTTTTACATACTTCCCTCGATTTCTCTTCATGAGAAATAGTTGTCTGATTATTCAAAGGTCATAAATGATACCAGTGAGCGACTCACTTACATCGAACTCCGCTGGTTTTCAGGGAACTGCGGTGAGTCTTTGCATAGATAGAAAAGAGCTGGGTTGAAGCAGCCTTTAATTTAAGGATGTTTTGCCAGACCAGTATTTATGAAGTGGTTAAGGAAGTAATGGCGGTTTATCTATTGGTATGCATAAGATATCAGTGAAGTCATGTAGTTCTCGTTTGTCATTCTTTTTAATTTATTCACTCAGTATGCTATTGCTCCTTCAATCACATGTAGGTGTATTTGTAGAGCAATCTTTCGTTTCTCCACCGATATCGTCTGTGAGTATTGGTCCTTTTTTGGTATAAGGGTAATTTAGTCAACCCATGCAAACGATGTCTGGACTACTACTAGTGATTCCGTAGAGAGAACAGACCTGAACTTTCTCAGTGATGAATCAGCGATCTCTCAAAACAAGGTTCGCCTATTTGAATTTAACGGTCAAAAGATGTGTTCCTTGTGCGTAGGTGAAGCTTTTTTCTAGTGTGAAGCTGAAGCACAATCCCAAATACTACGTTCAAGCGAGCCGAGGGGAAATGAACAGTCCTTCGTGCAGCTAGTTGACTCTCTTTCTGAAGACATTGACTACTTCAGTGAAGCAGTCGATGAACTGGAGAGCATGTCGGGGAATTTGCACAGCCTTGTGAGGAACGTCGTTAAAGGGGATGTAAGGCCTTTATTGACTTATTCGCCTGTATGCAAAGTTAACTGTAGTTACATCCTAAATAGCTAAGTCGTTAATGATACATTGATTTTATGTGTAACATCATTTGAAAAGGAACCACTCTTTTTACTCAGTCCACAACTTGTGGTGAGTTTCTAGTCTTTACGCCATCTGTATAACCGCTTCCCGAACATGGCACTTCACGACGAAGTGTAAGAGTGTAGTATCAAGTAGAAATATTTGTTGTAAATTCCGTGACGCTTACGTTACGACAGGAAGTACCGTCGAGTCGAAAAAGTGGGCACATAGTCGGGTGTTCTTTCTTCTTTTCACTACATCCTCGATGCTCTTGAAAGCTCCCCAAGCCGCTCGTTTCCTTCTGCTCAGATCTGGAGCTAAGTCGTTCATCATGTCGATTTCCCGACCTAAATAGACATAACTGGAGCATTCGTAGATATTCGCCCTATTGAGCGTGAATGGGGCTTGCGAAACCAATCCGTTCTTCATGAGCATCGTTCTTGTGAGATTTAGTCGAAGACCAATCTTTCCACAGGCTTTATCAAAGCATACGTTCCGCTTTGCTAATGTTTGGTGTTATAAGGATGATGCCATCAGCAAAGCGAAGATGGTGTAACTACCGACCATCGATTTTCATTCCGATATTATCCCATTCCAATGTTCACATAACGTTTTGCGGAGTGGCGGTTAATAATTTTGGCGAGATGGTATCATCTTGCCTAAGCCCTCTTTTGACGTCAATGTTAATATCGTTGTAGAATGGATACCTTGGTTGTGAAATTTTTGCACAGCTCACGAAGAATCTTTATGCATTGAGAAGGGACTCCCTGACTATCAAGGGCTTCCATGAATGCTTCTATCTCAACTGAATCAAAGGCCTTCTGTAAATCGATGAAAGTGAGACAGAGCGGTCTTTTGTAGTCTCGCGATACTTCAGTGAGCCTTGTTATTGTGTGGATGTGGTCCATCGTGCTAAATCCTCTTCGAAACCCTGCTTGCTCACATGGCTGCTCTTCGTACAGTGTTCCGTCAATCCTGTTTACGATGACTCGAATGAAAAGTTTGCAGACGACAAAGAGCAAGCAGATTGGGCGATAGTTCCCGATGTCGTGTAGGTCACCCTTCTTGAACAATAAAACGGCCTTGCTGGTCTTCCATTGAGTAGGAACCTTGCATTCAGACAGGTAACATGTGAAGAACCGAGCCAATGTGTTTACGAGGACTGGTGGAGGGCTCTTCAGGTGTTCTGGTCTTGTCCTGTCCTGACCTGGTACTGTTCGATTTTTCACCGACGAAATGGAATGTCGGATTTCGGAAGGGAGAACCGGTCTTA